AATGACTAATTATAATTTATATAGACTATTGGGTAATAATCAAAGATACAGTCTGAATGTAAAGTGACAAACAGTCAAAGATACAGTCTGAATGTAGAGAGACAAACTATATTAGTCCGATTATAATCACAGACTTTAACTTAGAATAACAAACACTTAGGTAAGTCCTCCACACACATCTAACTGCTGTCCTTACAACACATTGACACAATGACACCACTTTAGGCCATAACTTGCTTTGATCATTTAGTACTTTATCCAAACAATAATTTCAATAGAAGACACAACTAAGAGATGTATAAATAATCTTTTCCCCATTAAAGACTCAATAGCTTTAACCTCCAGTAGGATGACATTCTCTAGTCATTTCTCACCTTGTACTGTAGTATTTATCACACTTTGGAACATTTCTCCTGCCTTCACCACCAAATCATTTCTGTCACGGTCATGCCACTAAGAATTCAGAAATAAGTTTTAAAAAATTATATTGTTCTTAAAACTATCTCACTACAAAACCAAATACTGCATCATAAACAAAATTCTGTAAACTGGGTATCAGTTTTCTTCAAATTTACTCACAGTAACATTTGAAAAATAAATAAAATGGAATCAATTTAAAATTATTATTAATGAACTTAATTAAATATTATTCACGGAATGCCAAAACAAGTTAAGCCAAAAGCCATGAAATCCAGGAAGACTTATTGTCCAGGAAATACAAAAGGCCATAATGTGAATACTTGATTAAAGAGATAAGGATACCTAATCTGTAGAATTTAAATAATGGTCAATATCATCATAACGTTAGAGTAATAAACCAAAATTAGATTTACATCGTACAGGTAGCTTAGCATGTTGAAAACACACCAATTAATGTGCTTGGGTAGATAGATGGGGAAGATTATGACACGGAACTCACAAATGTACAGTCAAATTACAACACACTAATTAATGTGCTTGGGTAGATAGATGGGGAAGATTATGACACAGAACTCACAAATGCATCATTAACAGCATCTACGAAACTTTCTTCTGGGATTTCCTTCAAGTACCTGGCCTGGTCTGGTGTTGTCGTCCATATAAGGTTACAGTATTTACTGGATAACTAAAAAATATTCATACATATTATATAGCATTGTTTACTGGAGGTTGTAACTTAATGTATATCTGAAAAACTAGTGTATAAATAAAACTTAAATTTATCATGACAGAACGGAAGTTCCTGTATGTGCAACCTTGCAGTTGATAAAGGTTGACTAGTCTAGAAAATATTATAGTATCCTGCATACCTGTTGTATCAGAGAAATGCTCTAATTAAAGATAAAAACGATTCACATGACAGCATATTAGCAAGATTGACCAGCTTTGATCTCAGATAAGCTATCTCATATTTTCTGAAGTACATATGCCATTGTTTATCAGCCTTGAACTAATAAACAGCTGACTATGAGTCTTTGATTCTGTCATAAAAAAGTTGTAAAGGAGTATTAAGAAATCAACTCTCAAATTTCAAATATTTCTTAACAACACGAAACTAACATTGCACCATTCTGAGTTTGTTACTCACAGGCAGCATGGCAATAGGACCAGTGGGCAAAAACCGCTGCCAGGCAACAGAGTTATCAATGGACTGAAAAGGCAACACAAATATATGTACAGTTTGCATAAAAAAGTTTCTTTCTTTATAATCAAATTATGTTATACAAGTACATCTTGATATTAAATTTCTCAAAAACAGGCTTTACCATAGTGTTAAAGTGTTAACTTCAGTATAAGTGTGAGGTTACAATGAAAAAGTACCAATGTCAGGGATAGTGTGAGGTTACAATTATAGGTACTGATGTCAGGGGCAGTGTGAGGTTACAATTAAAGGTATTGATGTCAGGGATAGTGTGAGGCTACAGTTAAAGGTATTTACGTCAGGGATAGTGTGAGGTTACAATTCTAGGTAGTGATGTCAGGGATAGTGTGAGGTTACAATTAAAGGTATTTATGTCAGGTGCAGTGTGAGGTTACAATTAAAGGTATTTATGTCAGGGGCAGTGTGAGGTTACAATTGAAGGTATTGATGTCAGGGATAGTGTAAGGTTATAGGTACTGATGTCAGGGATAGTGTGAGGGTACAATTATAGGTACTGATGTCAGGGGCAGTATGAGGTTACAATTAAAGGTATTGATGTCAGGGATAGTGTAAGGTTATAGGTACTGATGTCAGGGATAGTGTGAGGTTACAATTAAAGGTATTGATGTCAGGGATAGTGTGAGGTTACAATTATAGGTATTGATGTCAGGGATAGTGTGAGGTTACAATTAAAGGTACCAATGTCAGGGATAGTGTGAGGTTACAATTAAAGGTACTAATGTCAGGGATAGTGTGAGGTTATAGGTACTGATGTCAGGGATAGTGTAAGGTTATAGGTACTGATGTCAGGGATAGTGTGAGGTTATAGGTACTGATGTCAGGGATAGTGTGAGGTTACAATTAAAGGTACTAATGTCAGGGATAGTGTGAGGTTACAATTAAAGGTACTGATGTCAGGGATAGTGTGAGGTTACAATTAAAGGTATTGATGTCAGGGATAGTGTGAGGTTACAATTAAAGGTATTGATGTCAGGGATAGTGTGAGGTTACAATTAAAGGTATTGATGTCAGGGATAGTGTGAGGTTACAATTAAAGGTATTGATGTCAGGGATAGTGTGAGGTTACAATTAAAGGTATTGATGTCAGGGATAGTGTGAGGTTACAATTAAAGGTATTGATGTCAGGGATAGTGTGAGGTTACAATTAAAGGTATTGATGTCAGGGATAGTGTGAGGTTACAATTAAAGGTATTGATGTCAGGGATAGTGTGAGGTTACAATTAAAGGTATTGATGTCAGGGATAGTGTGAGGTTACAATTAAAGGTATTGATGTCAGGGATAGTGTGAGGTTACAATTAAAGGTATTGATGTCAGGGATAGTGTGAGGTTACAATTAAAGGTATTGATGTCAGGGATAGTGTGAGGTTACAATTAAAGGTATTGATGTCAGGGATAGTGTGAGGTTACAATTAAAGGTATTGATGTCAGGGATAGTGTGAGGTTACAATTAAAGGTATTGATGTCAGGGATAGTGTGAGGTTACAATTAAAGGTACTGATGTCAGGGATAGTGTGAGGTTACAATTAAAGGTATTGATGTCAGGGATAGTGTGAGGTTACAATTAAAGGTATTGATGTCAGGGATAGTGTGAGGTTACAATTAAAGGTATTGATGTCAGGGATAGTGTGAGGTTACAATTAAAGGTATTGATGTCAGGGATAGTGTGAGGTTACAATTAAAGGTATTGATGTCAGGGATAGTGTGAGGTTACAATTAAAGGTATTGATGTCAGGGATAGTGTGAGGTTACAATTAAAGGTATTGATGTCAGGGATAGTGTGAGGTTACAATTAAAGGTATTGATGTCAGGGATAGTGTGAGGTTACAATTAAAGGTATTGATGTCAGGGATAGTGTGAGGTTACAATTAAAGGTATTGATGTCAGGGATAGTGTGAGGTTACAATTAAAGGTATTGATGTCAGGGATAGTGTGAGGTTACAATTAAAGGTATTGATGTCAGGGATAGTGTGAGGTTACAATTAAAGGTATTGATGTCAGGGATAGTGTGAGGTTACAATTAAAGGTATTGATGTCAGGGATAGTGTGAGGTTACAATTAAAGGTATTGATGTCAGGGATAGTGTGAGGTTACAATTAAAGGTATTGATGTCAGGGATAGTGTGAGGTTACAATTAAAGGTATTGATGTCAGGGATAGTGTGAGGTTACAATTAAAGGTATTGATGTCAGGGATAGTGTGAGGTTACAATTAAAGGTATTGATGTCAGGGATAGTGTGAGGTTACAATTAAAGGTACTGATGTCAGGGATAGTGTGAGGTTACAATTAAAGGTATTGATGTCAGGGATAGTGTGAGGTTACAATTAAAGGTATTGATGTCAGGGATAGTGTGAGGTTACAATTAAAGGTATTGATGTCAGGGATAGTGTGAGGTTACAATTAAAGGTATTGATGTCAGGGATAGTGTGAGGTTACAATTAAAGGTATTGATGTCAGGGATAGTGTGAGGTTACAATTAAAGGTATTGATGTCAGGGATAGTGTGAGGTTACAATTAAAGGTATTGATGTCAGGGATAGTGTGAGGTTACAATTAAAGGTATTGATGTCAGGGATAGTGTGAGGTTACAATTAAAGGTATTGATGTCAGGGATAGTGTGAGGTTACAATTAAAGGTATTGATGTCAGGGATAGTGTGAGGTTACAATTAAAGGTATTGATGTCAGGGATAGTGTGAGGTTACAATTAAAGGTACTGATGTCAGGGATAGTGTGAGGTTACAATTAAAGGTATTGATGTCAGGGATAGTGTGAGGTTACAATTAAAGGTATTGATGTCAGGGATAGTGTGAGGTTACAATTAAAGGTACTGATGTCAGGGATAGTGTGAGGTTACAATTAAAGGTATTGATGTCAGGGATAGTGTGAGGTTACAATTAAAGGTATTGATGTCAGGGATAGTGTGAGGTTACAATTAAAGGTACTGATGTCAGGGATAGTGTGAGGTTACAATTAAAGGTATTGATGTCAGGGATAGTGTGAGGTTACAATTAAAGGTATTGATGTCAGGGATAGTGTGAGGTTACAATTAAAGGTACTGATGTCAGGGATAGTGTGAGGTTACAATTAAAGGTATTGATGTCAGGGATAGTGTGAGGTTACAATTAAAGGTATTGATGTCAGGGATAGTGTGAGGTTACAATTAAAGGTATTGATGTCAGGGATAGTGTGAGGTTACAATTAAAGGTATTGATGTCAGGGATAGTGTGAGGTTACAATTAAAGGTATTGATGTCAGGGATAGTGTGAGGTTACAATTAAAGGTATTGATGTCAGGGATAGTGTGAGGTTACAATTAAAGGTATTGATGTCAGGGATAGTGTGAGGTTACAATTATAGGTATTGATATCAGGGATAGTGTGAAGTTACAATTAAAGGTACCAATGTCAGGGATAGTGTGAGGTTACAATTAAAGGTACTAATGTCAGGGATAGTGTAAGGCAATTAAAGGTACTAATGTCAGGGATAGTGTAAGGTTACAATTAAAGGTACTAATGTCAGGGATAGGGTGAGGTTACAATTAAAGGTACTAATGTCAGGGATAGTGTAAGGTTATAAGTATTGATGTCAGGGATAGTGTGAGGTTACAATTATAGGTATTGATATCAGGGATAGTGTAAGGTTACAATTAAAGGTACTAATGTCAGGGATAGTGTAAGGCAATTAAAGGTACTAATGTCAGGGATAGTGTAAGGCAATTAAAGGTACTAATGTCAGGGATAGTGTAAGGCAATTAAAGGTACTAATGTCAGGGATAGTGTAAGGCAATTAAAGGTACTAATGTCAGGGATAGTGTAAGGCAATTAAAGGTACTAATGTCAGGGATAGTGTAAGGCAATTAAAGGTACTAATGTCAGGGATAGTGTAAGGCAATTAAAGGTACTAATGTCAGGGATAGTGTAAGGTTATAGGTACTGATGTCAGTGATAGTGTGAGGTTATAGGTACTGATGTCATGGATAGTGTGAGGTTACAATTAAAGGTACCAATGTCAGGGATAGTGGGAGGTTACAATTATAGGTATTGATATCAGGGATAGTGTAAGGTTACAATTAAAGGTACTAATGTCAGGGATAGTGTAAGGCAATTAAAGGTACTAATGTCAGGGATAGTGTAAGGTTATAGGTACTGATGTCAGTGATAGTGTGAGGTTATAGGTACTGATGTCATGGATAGTGTGAGGTTACAATTAAAGGTACCAATGTCAGGGTTAGTGTGAGGTTGCAATTATATGTACTGATGTCAGGGATAGTGTGAGGGTACAATTAAAGGTATTGATGTCAGGGATAGTGGGAGGTTACAATTATAGGTATTGATATCAGGGATAGTGTGAAGTTACAATTAAAGGTACCAATGTCAGGGATAGTGGGAGGTTACAATTATAGGTATTGATATCAGGGATAGTGTGAACTTCCAATTAAAGGTACCAATGTCAGGGATAGTGTGAGGTTACAATTAAAGGTGCTGATGTCAGGGATAGTGTGAGGTTACAATTAAAGGTATTGATGTAAGGGATAGTGTGAGGTTACAATTAAAGGTGCTGATGTCAGGGATAGTGTGAGGTTACAATTAAAGGGACTAATGTCAGGGATAGTGTGAGGTTACAATTATATGTATTGATGTCAGGGATAGTGTGAGGTTATAGGTATTGATATCAGGGATAGTGTGAAGTCACAATTAAAGGTACCAATGTCAGGGATAGGGTGAGGTTACAATTATATGTACTGATGTCTGGGATAGTGTGAGGTTACAATTATAGGTATTGATGTCAGGGATAGTGTAAGGTTACAATTAAAGGTACTAATGTCAGAGTATGAGGTTATCTTGCACCAGAAAATGTGTAGATAAATCTGTTCAGGGTAACAGAAAGTGTGAAGCCAACAACTTAGGTCCTGGGCAAAGAGTTAGTGAGGTCATATCTGAAAGTACTGATGTAGGACGAAATGAGTGGTCACCATTCCAGGTAATAGTGTTATAGATGTAGTAAGGTCACAACTAAAGTTTACTCTGTACATACCATCTGTAAGTTTCATACCTCATCTACTTGAAGAGTTGCTACCACAGCCGTCTGTTTGTAATCCCTCTGAATTGTATGGAATTCCCCTGCTTTACGCACTGCAGAAAATATACCGTCAGCTCCAATCTGAAATATACATTTTTCCAAATGCTGAACATGCAAGGATTACCAATATTTATGTCTTAAATGAACGTATAGTTCATGAGGCTGTGAGGGGAGAATCAAACCAATTCTAATATTCAATTAAAACTAATCTTTTCTAGCACACCTTTATAGACTATTTTTGTTTTTGGATCAGTTACACTTGGGCTCTCTAATATTGAAAAGAGTCAGTCCCAGACAAAATTAGTGAAACCCAGACGAAATGCTTGTGTCCATTGCAATCCTACAATGTTGCTTCCATTTGTATAGCTTGATCACCCATTATCACACCTAGCACTGTCAGCTCACATGTTGACCTCAACAGTACTTCTTATAGCAGGTCTCGCTTGTGTTATCGTGAGCCACAGGATTTTACTAATCATCCTAACTGTGTAATCGTGAGCAACAGGAATTTACTAATCATCCTAACTGTGTAATCGTGAGCCACAGGTTTTATTAATCATCCTAACTGTGTAATTGTGAGCCACAGGTTTTACTAATCATCCTAACTGTAATTGTGAGCCACAGGGTTTACTAATCATCCTAACTGTGTAATCGTGAGCCACAGGTTTTACTAATCATCCTAACTGTGTAATTGTGAGCCACAGGATTTTACTAATCATCCTAACTGTGTAATCGTGAGCCACAGGTTTTACTAATCATCCTAACTGTGTAATTGTGAGCCACAGGATTTACTAATCATCCTAACTGTGTAATTGTGAGCCACAGGATTTACTAATCATCCTAACTGTGTAATTGTGAGCCACAGGATTTACTAATCATCCTAACTGTGTAATTGTGAGCCACAGGATTTACTAATCATCCTAACTGTGTAATTGTGAGCCACAGGATTTACTAATCATCCTAACTGTGTAATTGTGAGCCACAGGATTTACTAATCATCCTAACTGTGTAATTGTGAGCCACAGGATTTACTAATCATCCTAACTGTGATATTGTGAGCCACAGGATTTACTAATCATCCTAACTGTGTAATTGTGAGCCACAGGTTTTACTAATCATCCTAACTGTGTAATTGTGAGCCACAGGTTTTACTAATCATCCTAACTGTGTAATTGTGAGCCACAGGTTTTACTAATCATCCTAACTGTGTAATCCTGAGCCACAGGTTTTACTAATCATCCTAACTGTGTAATCGTGAGCCACAGGTTTTACTAATCATCCTAACTGTGTAATTGTGAGCCACAGGATTTTATTAATCATCCTAACTGTGTAATCCTGAGCCACAGGTTTTACTAATCATCCTAACTGCAGCCAAGACACACCCACAGAGAGAAAATACTGTGTCTGCACCAACAACTGAGTGTCCAGGATGCAAAATTTTGTCGTATTTTTTTTTGTTCATCTTAGCATTTATGATTATGATGAATATTGATTGATATTTTAATCCAATGCAAACATACCAGAAGCTTAGTTTTCAGCACACAGTTGTCCTGTAATCCAACAGTTACCCAGGAATTCTGGTGTGTTTCTGCGTGGCCCGGGGTAACCCCTGGTATGATGAAGGACTTAGCTGATGTCTGGTACCTCACATCCACGCGATCTGAGACAGCCTCCAGACGCCTTCTCAACGCTTCTTCTATCACATCATTCTCCGCAATATATGCCAGGTCATCCAGGAGATTATCATTGCTGAATGTAATCAGGGAATCTGAACAGGAATCCCAAACCTTGAAAATAATTATTCTCCAAAGTAACAAATTTTCTTAAGCTACCATATTTCATTATACAATTAAGGACATAATAATACATATTATGTTTTTGGAAAAGTCTATCAGTTAAGAATATTCTCTTCTGGCAACATTTTCGGCCCTTAAGGAACCAGTGTTCCAGCTAGTGAACAGATGGCTCACCTGCTGCTGAATGATTTTGGCAAACACATCTTGTATGCGACCATCAAATGGGTCAAGGTCAAATGTTTTTTAAGGAACAAGACAGCAAGCAATTTAACAATACATGCCAAACCTACCAGTGAATTGATCTTTATTCCAAGATTGTAAATTATTATTTTAATTACTTTAAGTGATGTGATTATTCTAATACATAAGTGACCTTCAAAGAGGGTCAATGTAATTTCTTAGAACAAACTTAATAGTCAGCTATCTTAGCAATCTTCAGGCAAGATATCATTACTTGAGATCTTATGGATCTAAGAGGAAGTTCTTTGAAGATTTTAACACATCTGATCCTTAAAACCTAGAAAGTGGGTCAAGGTCATAATTTGAAAGACTTGATACAATGTTGTACATAATATACTTCATCCAAGCCTTCCACAGATGTGTTATTATTCAACTTTTGGATTTTAAGAAAAGTGATATGAATATCCGATCAGTTTATTGCTGTGAACTTGAAAGTGGGTCAAAGTCATTCATTGAACAAAAGATGGTGGGTTTTTATTCAAGCAAGCTTCAGGTCAAATATCGATATTGTACACCTTATGGATATTAAGGATCCCCATCCCAGCCAGAGCAAAACACTAAAGAATTCCACTGTCGTTTTTCAGTGTTAGAGTCACCTGCCCCTGATTACCATTTCGACAATGTTGTTATCTTCCCTTGATTAGATTTCGTTTGAATAACGTTTTGACTACAGATTTGTGTCCCTTGTGTTGAAAATCTCCAATCGCGAAAGTGTGGGCAAAAAAAGCTGTTGTAACGATGTAAACAACGTTGTGGCAGTGATGGCCGACATGCAAGCCCGACGTAAAATTGTCCGTTTTAAATGTAAACTAAACGCATTAACCGACAATAATAACACCAACGATGTCCAATATCAACTGCTAGACCATGACTATGCGACGAAACAAAGTGACACTCATTCACTCATTGAAGAGACGCTGGCTACTGAGGCCCCTACTAAGCTTACTGACAATTTTACTGCTGAGCCGACACTGACGTCCGATGAGGATCCGTCCAGTACTAGTGATCACGAATACGCCAATAACTGTTTAACCTGTTCGCAGGGTAGACGAGTGGTTGAACTCGCATTGTTATCTGAATACCTGGACCAGAAAGGTTGTAAGGAATGCGGTACTAGGCTACGGTTGTGCAATACCCAACAGGAAAGACATTTTGGTCTTGGAAGTATTTTATGCATCACACTAGTCAGGATTATAATATATATTTGTTATTACATGTATATGCCTAATAGGCCTATATTTCAAGTTCATTTTTTTGATTACATACAACAGTGTTATTTTTACAACACCACAATATTGTATATTGTTATTTGTACATAATGTAAAGGTGTATTATTGTTGTGTAGTGTGATATAAATTTGTTAAACCACAATATATGTTGTTATCTGTATATATAGTGTGATATTTTTTATATCACAATATGGTATGTTGTTATCTGTACATAATGTAAAAGTTTATTATTATTTGTTCCGAATGTAAAAGTTTATTATTGTTGTATATAGTGATTTTTTATATCACAACATAGTATGTTATTTGCCTATTATGAAGACATTTATTATTGTTTTGTAAAGTATGTGAAACTTTGTTATTGTTGTTCATTGCGACATTTTTGCTATGACACAGTAAAGTACATTGTTTGTTATAATGTTATTCATGAACAATGTGCAATTTTGTTTTATATTGGTTATTACATTTGAAGTAATTTTATTGGTTGGTAATGCCTACTGTATTATATTTGTATATAAAAAGTGCCATATTGTATGTTGTAAATTGTATATACGACTTTTGGGGATTTAGAATTATTATTGGTACAAATGTAAGAGTTGTCTCTCTTTTTTTGTTTAGTTTTTTTGTATCTTTATAATTTTTTGTATAATAAGTAAGTCCACAAGATATTTATTTTTTGTCACCTATATTCTCTTTTTGTTGTCCTAAACCTGTTGCATTGGCACTCGGAATTTTATTAATTCATGTAACGGGCATTTTTGTTAGTTTTAATATTATTGTTAGATAACTCAGTTTTGTTTTGTTTTGTTCATCAATATTGACATTGTTATTATGTTTTATGTGTTATATTTCTAATAAACCATTGTTGCATCAAATAAAATGTATTTTGTTTCATTTGTTCCATTGACAAAAAATAAATAAATGAAATTTCATAATATCCCAAAAAAGAAACTACCGCAAGGTATGGGTTATTGTTCATAAATTATTTGGTTATCGATAGCGATGCCATAGAATAAAAACCAATGCTTCATTACATTTTTAGGCGGAGGGACGGGGATCCTTAAGAAGAATTTCCTAAAAAACATTAACACCATTGTATAAGCTCACAAGCACTTAGTGCCAAGACAGGGGAGCTAAATATTATACCTTTCCACTGTTTCTTTCATTAAATATGAATTCAACTATCTCGGTGTGCAAAGTTTGAGTAAAACTTTTCAATAGATTCTTTTTATGCTAATCTCCCCTTGAATTTCTATGCAATGCTTACTAGAATTAACTAAGTCCCAAAAAATAATAATGCAAAATAAAAGTTATCTATGGTAACTGTTCGACCATATTTCATAGCATCGGGTGTATCAATGTATTATGAGTACATGATGTATTTTACGCATGAATTACAAGGTGGATCATAAGTACATAATTAGTAGGCTAAAAAAGTCAGCTAGGATGTACCTGCATTCTTTTCACAGAATGACATCTCATCTGTTCTACTTCATTCCATGCACCAACACCTATAGAACAAACACAGAAGTTACAATAACATTTTTTTAAAAGCACACTAAACATGTCAAAGAAAGAGTGCACAGACAGAATGTTTAATACACGTAGGTGTATTAAACATTCTGTCTGTGCACTCTTCAAATCAAGGAAATAAATAATTCAACATATTTGTGATCGTTTTATTGGAAATTATATCAATATCTCTTTCATGCAGAATAACTGAAATGATACTTTGAGATCTATATATAAGCTCATTCATTTTTTTTTTATCATGCTAGGAAAACAAATCAGAAAGAAAATTGGAAATATAATTCTAGCACAAGGTCAATGTTTTTTTCTGCTCTCAAATTCAGAATGGGCCTCATCATAGTTATTTAAAATAATGGTGTTATAAATGACATATTATTTGACCAATTCATAATGTCCATAAATATGTTCATGTACAGTCGAACCTCGTTATCTCGAACTCTTTTAACCCGCATAACTCGAATACTCGGATAACTCAAAGTTTTCCCACGACCCCGTCGACTTCGAGATAACGAGGTTCGACTGTATTATGCATGTCAAAGTATGTTTTAAATCAGAAAGCATGATTCTTACTGCTAAGCAAGTCTACAGATGAAGGACTTATGGCACACGTTCTGTTGCTGAAGGCCTCTGGTACAGTGTAGCTTTTCTTGGCTGCAGCTTCTAACAACACAATCTTCTTGTCTTTAAGAAGCTCTTCATGTCCTAGAAATGTCAGAAAATATCCTGAACAAAACCTTTTTAATTTTTCATTGATTTATGAAGTCAAACATGTTCAGAATACATTAAATGAAAATGAAAACGTTGATTATACCCAGGAAAGCTTTGTACAGAGCTACTGAGTGTGCTGATAATGAAAAATATTGTGCAGATGATGAGTATGCTAACGATTAGAAACATGATGAGTGTGAGAAACATGATGGGTAATGACCAATGACAATTATGACACATTTATGAATAAATAAATATACAACATTTGATATTGCGACCTATCTAGCTAACATAAGCCACTCTAAAGCGCTTTACAGTACATAGATATACATATGAAGAAGATGATGACATGATGTCAGATGATACATGATGATGAGTGTACAGGTATGAGTGTACAGATTTTAATGCACCCCTTTATGTAAAAGTTTCCCTAGTGTGGTTTCTTCCTGTTTACACGAACTGTGAGTGTAACCCAAAAAACCCATAACAGGATATATTACCAAGTGCACATGCCATGGCAGTTCCAACCATGCCGCCACCCGATATGACAATATCTGCGGTCTCTTCATTTTGAGAGGTTGTAGTCTGTATTTTTCGTGATGTTGTTGGCAACATACGCATGGATCTAACAGTGGCGAAACACAGAAAGCACCGCTGCCGTAATGACAAGGCGCACGCCATTTTTGTTTAAAAAATAGAATGATCTCCCTTGATTTATGTAACGCAGAAATTTTGAAAAAAAATAAGGGGAAAAAAAGAGAGGAAGAAACGAAGCAGAAATGATAAACAAAAACGTTAAGATATGGGGTTTACTTTGAACTTTCTATCTTGAACTAAAATTATATTTTGTAATTTTTCTTTGAATAAAATATCAGAATAATTTACTCCGTATCATCCGACATAGTTTCGAATCAACAAATGGCCGACGATGGCAACAACACATCACAGTTTGGCAGTTTTGACAAATGCATGTGTTAAACCCCCGATTGATCCTAAAACAGGATTATCTACATCTTTAAATGAGAGAACTCTTTCGTCTCTCATGCACTATGGGGATGAATATGGAGAAGAAAAGGATGAAATGTTCGATGATGAGGGACGGACCCGTTTTGAGAATTTGTCCGGTCTTGTCCTATCGGATCCCGCCAACAAAGCTATTCCGACGGAATTGAACAATTTAACAGATGACGAATTTTATGAAAAGCTTATACAGTTAAAAAGGGAACATAAGAAAACTCTTGCAATATGTGAAAAATTGTATAAACGAAAGGTAGGCGTTGAGCAGAGCAACACCCAAAATGGTTTTGTTTCTGAAGCAAACTTTGGCACAGTGCCAAGTGATTTTGCAAATCAAGAGATCCATTCAACATTACATAATTCACCATTAAATGGTTTTCGAAATCATGATCAGAGTAATCGAAGTTCTTTTGGAGAATCTTCACACAAGCCACCTACAGGTCGACCACCCCCATCTCCAGGAGCAAGAACTATGCCTTCCGCCGGATTGAGGACTATGCCAGTTGACAGAACGTTCGCCACAAAAACAAGGCCAAGTTCAGCACCAACAAGAGGTGGGTCACTAAGCCTTGCACGTAGCTTAGAAGAGGAAGTTTGGCTGAAAATCGCAGCAGAAAGAAAAGCAGGAAGAGAAGCAGAAGATAATGAGCCTGTTGAAAGGTATGAACAAACCCAATCAGAAACATATGAAAGTCCAGAATTAACAACTGCTATGGCAGACATTGATGACATGTGGGATAATTTTTCAATAGAAGAATACGCACCAAGACCTGAAAGACCATCTTCAGCTACTATCACCCGCAAGGAAAAAGCAGAAAAACAGTGGAGGCATAGAATCACCATTCCAAAGCCTTTTAAAATGACTATTCGTGAAATGAACAAAGAAAAGAAGATAACCGAGGTACAAAAAGAATTTGAAGAAAAGTTACAGCAGAAGTACAAAGAAGAAGAGATGGAATGTCAAAAGAAATTCAAAGCTGCACCAGTGCCAGCACATGTATATTTACCAATGTATGATGAAATTGCAGAAAAGAATGAAGCCCGTAGGCGATACATACGAGATTACAGCAAGGAATTACTCAAATCACAAGAAAAACCATTCAACTTTACAAAAAGGGAAGCAGACAAAAAGAAACACAGGCGAGTGAAATCGGCACCAATATCAGATGATGGTGTGAGGAAATCCAGTACATTCAAAGCTCAGCCTGTGCCAGTATCTGTCCTTGATGACAGTGTAAATGATAAAATCATGGAAGAAGAAGAGTACAGAAAAATAAGAATAAAAATGCGATCAGAAGAACTCTTAAACGCTGCATCATTGCCTCCAAATATGGAAGCAAGAAAACAATATGACCAAAATAAAAAACGTGACAAACAAGTTAAGAACAAAAGAAAAGCTCGGTTCCAGCCAAAAGTGAATCATGATGTGCCAGACTATGATGAACTTTATAGACATTTTCAAAAGGAATTAGCACGACGCAAACGTGAGAGAGAGTCAACAGTAGTGAGGCCTTTCCAACTCAACACAATGCACCTACAGTCAACCAGGGACAGGATTGTCAAAGACATAGAGAGGGATGAGGAAAACATGAAGGAGAACAGATGGCCATACAAGAACCCACGTGTCACACCAAGAAGTTTAGGTAAGTCATTTTATTCAAAGTTATTCTGGATTTGTCATATTATTGAAAATTATTTTGAAATTTAGTCTATTCATAGATATTATTCGCAATTTATTAATCTTAATTTCTGTTACAAGCACTATAAAAACTAAAATGATATATTGGAATTATTTATGTATCATCTTGTGTCATATTTCAGCTGATATCTCTCCATATTTCAGGTACTCTGTCCACTTCACTTGACTCCATCCCAGCAAAGACCACTGCATCAGCTGACCTTAGGAATAGGCATACAAGGTGTGTAAACTGTGAATGGGCTTGATTTTCTTACCATTAGATAAACAGCTTACTTATGTAATAGTCCAACCTATGTTTCATGTCAACCATTGAAGAGTAATAGAAATAAACTTGTACCAATAACTATGCTAGCTTTCATTTTAAAATTCCTTGTAGGTTTGAACAAATTATTCCAAATAATGTGACAAGGGGGGATACCCAGGTAGAACAAACAAAATTTCATGTCCTCTCAACAATGTAATTGTTGGTTGAAATAAGAGCTGTGCTTACCACATAAGTTGAGGAGGTTAAACTGGCACTTATTGCAGTCACCTTATTAGTTTATTAAAAGGGTTAATGTAGGCAATTGGCGTTGTCAGGTTCTGGTGTAAGTGTTGACATTCATCAATATCATCTTCATTATTTGTACTAGGATGCAGATATTTGGCATGGAGATTCCAAGGTGGTCCAATGTAAATTCAATGCAATCAAAACAGACAAAACAATAGTTTTCAAATTTGTTGTGCTTGTTTTTGACTTAAAGGGTTTTTAGGTCGCCTGAGCTTTAGCTCAAGTGACCTATTGCTATCCGTTTTCGTCCGTCGTCGTCGGTTAACATTTTACATTTCAAACTTAAAGTCAAGTTCTGCTGGGCCGCTTGAACTGAAAGTTGGTAGGAATGATCGCCTCATGGTCCTGACAAAGTGTTGTTATTTTTCGGGTCGATCAGAAATCCAATATGGCCGCCACGGCCGCCATTTTGAAAAACTATTTCAAACTTAAAGTCAAGTTTTGCTAGGCCGATTGAACTGAAACTTTGTAGGAATGATCAAATCATGGTTCTGACGAAGGGTTGTTATTTTTCGGGTCAATCAGAAATACAATTTGGCTGCCATGGCCGCTATTTTGCTACTAAGTTCTAGTAGGCCGATCTCACTTAAAATTGGTCTAGGAATGATCAGCTCATGGTACTGACAAAGTTAAGTTAACATTATACTATTTTTTACTCAAATTGGTACATATTTGAACAACAAAAATAAATACTATAGACTCAGGTGACCGTTAAGGCCCATGGGCCTCTTGTTTTTAGAAAACAGGTCTTTTTTTATTGCTTTGGTAATGTGGATTTGGAATTGGAAAAATAGTGTCACAACAATCCAAAATTGCCCATTGACAACAAGACTAATGGTGTCAATAAATTTGTTCTGTACATAATTACGGCATTGTTTCCTTTTGTTATGCGGTCATACCTGTCATAAGCATATTCTACAGAACCCAGGAGTGGTTACCTGAAATTCCACTATACGACAATTCTACACACCCATGTTTACAAATTTTGATTATGGTACATGCTGTAGGTTGCAACACTGTCTGCATGAATACAAACTGATTTTTTTTTGTGGGGGGGGGGTTGAGAATGATTTTGTACACATGTGAATTGTGGGGTCATTACTGATAAGCACACATCAGTCTAATAAACAAGAATGTGTTGTCATTCCTACAGGAAGAAGCTTCAGGATATGACCAAGCAAGAACGTGAACATCTAGAGACAGATAGAAAGAAAAGGATACAGGAAATGAGACTGAGGTCACAGATCATATCCAAAACGAGAGATGGGGAAAATGGACGCACTCTGGAGGATACGTACAGGCAAAAACTCCGGACATTCAGGTAAACAAGGTGGTCTCTCTGTGTAATATTATGTTATAATGAGTTAATTTATAAAGTGATGCAAGAGGTAGTTATAGGCATTTAAGGTTTCCTATCCCTTACTATTTCTTTCTTAAAAATTTAACATTTATAATGCCTTTTACAGAAATGATGACCGTGATAGAAAAGATGAATACCAGAAAAGTTTGCAGGAAATGCAAGAGCGTGTGAACAAGCGACCTTTGTTGTTTCAACAAGAGAGTCAGGTGAGGAAAAAGTTCCTTGATATATTTGTGAGACTACAGCGAGGTAACCCAGCTGTTGATACTGATGGTATTATTTTTATATTGTGTAGATTGTCGGGTGAACACTTCATCAGGGTTATCAAAATGTTTTGATGCTGTTTTGCTAATTTATCATTCTGTGTTTTCTAATATTGAAATGCAACTTACTCTGAATTCTTGGTACCATGAAATAAGTAATAAATAATAATAATAGGTCACCTTAGAGTGATTGTAGTTTTAACAAGCAAAAGCTTTTTATGATTACAACATGTTACTGGATGTAGGAAGATTTTAAAAACTCTTAGCAATTCCACTTTCAAATCAGGGAAAGTTTACTGTTTTGGGTACATCATTATAATAGTCTTTGATGTTTAAACTAAAACAGTTCCTTGCTCGACTTTTAAGGTGAATGCTAAGGCAACTGCAGAGAAGAAGTTTGCCACAACTTTAAAAAATCATGGAATCGATGAGGACTTTGTACAGAGTCGCAGCTCTCGAGCAGCCAGTGTTGTAAACGATGATGGTGAGGAAAATTACGAGGATGACTTTGATGCAACATATGCCAAATCACCCGACGATGAAATGTATGATGATGATTATGAAGATGAAGCATGAGGATTTTCTATGACTGTTTTTAAATAGCTTTAAGAGACAAAAACTACAACACGGGAAACAATTAACTTCTGTAAATGTAAAGATTGCCACAAAGGTGTTAAGATCATGTACTCACAGAAACTGATATATAAATGTTTCAAGGTAATACCTGGTGCCGCACAACAAGGAGCTGCTGCTGACAGTTGATACTTATATCGTCAGCAATCTTAATGCATATCTGAAAACAAGCATTTCCAGATGTTTAGGGATAGTTTAGAACAAATATATAACAATTCTATATTTACCCAAAGATTTTTAACAAGATATTTTTATCATAGCAAGTGGTTCTTGTACTACAAGAGGTAGTCATGAAGCCACACTTGATTATCATGTTAGCACGCGTAATGGCTAGTCACCTGTAGTACCATAGGCATTCTTCTGTTACATTAGATGCTCATTTTATTCAGTGTATTTGTCTTTTGTATTATGTTTTACGAGAACAATGCTTATATTTATTTTAAGGACACAACATGATCAGATTTGAATCTTTATAGAATCTCAATCAAACACACTAATGACCTAATGATACAGTATTCAACCTGGCAGTCATTCTTTATTGTGACATACTATATGTACCACTTTTATTGATACCACTGCAGGTCTCTTTACTATGACATAATAGTTAGTAGGTATACATATATATTATATACCATCTATACTTCTCAAGTAAGAATACCTTCATCATTGTAACAACTCATCACTAGACTATTAAGATGTTCTACATTGTTTTCCAATTGTGTAGAGCCGTTTAGGTGGTTTGGTCTGGGTTGATACGTATAGTACAGAGGAGAAACACCAGGTTGAATACTGTACAGGTAAGCTTCCATTCACTGTTGTGTAGAGCCGTTTAGGTGGTTTGGTCTGGGTTGATACGTATAGTACAGAGGAGAAACACCAGGTTGAATACTGTACAGGTAAGCTTGCATTCACTGTTCAGTACAGCGCTGTAGCTGCTTCAGTGTATTATCAGTAGCTACAGGTATTATAAGTCATTTTATTTTGTAAGTCTGTATATATTTCTTTAATCTACATTGGTTGTTTGTTATTCATATAAATTCAACTTGACCTAGTCTTATGTATTAACCTGTAACACTTTCTGTAGATGATTCCCCGTTTTCCAAATCTCCTGCAGGGTAATCCATGCCGTATGTGGACCTTCTCTTCTCTGTATCATATCCTGTCACTGGTCATACCAAAGCTCACGCAGGGAGGGAAGGTTATTGGTTAAAAGTACAACGAAAGATTTGAAAGATAAATTGATATTTATTTGTAGGGTATAAAAATGGGAGAATCTTGGAGTGAACTAACAATGTAGATTTTTAAAGTATTAGCTAGTGATGGAGATATAAAAAACAAGACTGTACCGGGTAATTTATGTAAATGTGTTCTGTTCTACAGTTTTATTATAATTCCATGCTATTTTGGGCTATTTATCTGTAGTCTTTCAAATGCTATTTCAATCAGTTCTCTGAGTTTTTATAAAATTGTTCTGTTTCACAATTCGGGTACTTTAATTTCTTCTGCATTCCATATGAATTATACTATATGTATAGTCAATAAGAATCCATTAAGGATGCATGTACCACCAAGTTACAATATCTCTCTATGTTCATGCAAAACATGTCTATCTTAAGTAGAGGTTGGAAATTGTCAAATTAATGACAGAACGAAGCTGTTACACTTATGACATATTTTTATTTTTTAAGTTATCCTAACGCTATGACTATATGTTTGATGTCAATGCATATATCTGTTCATTGTTCATAAGTGTTCACTGTATTTTTGGTGTATAGAATTAATTATAAATAAATTTAATGAATTGATGATAAAAACATACAGTAATATAAAATGATGAGTAGACAATAGAACATCTCTGACATAAAAACCTGGAAATATTGAGATTTTGTAGATACCAGTCTGTGCAGTGGGACACCCATCCTTAAACTAGAAAATGACACATCAGCTTTTCATATTTCTTATAATTATGTGCTTACCAAATGTTTTTTTTTTTTTTAAATCCGTCCATATAATAATGATATTAATGTTATAGTTGTCATCATGGATGCAACAGGTTAGCTTTTATAAAAAAAGAAAGAGAAACCTTTATGCTTGTCATGTTTGTTCTTCATTCTTATTTTGACCTCATTCATGTTAATATCATGGTACAAAAATGTGTACCAGTATAATAATATACATACTTGGTAGTTATAGAATACAATATTTGGACATTTATAAAATAGGTCGCAGTTCACAGAAGAGTACACCTGCTTGTATCTAGGTAATTTTGTATACATTCTAGGCCTTCAGATCCAGTAACTTATACATGGATGTTAATCCATTTTGGTGCAGTAGTCTGGAAGTCTTCACACACAACTCTGTAACTGAAATAACCACTGGACAGAACTGCAAAAAATGTGCCCTCATTTTTGCAATCCTTTTTTTTTATCTTTTAAAATTTTCACCAGCCATTGATTGGCAATAAAGAAACTATCATTCTCTTGAGAGCCAGCAATATCCCCATTACCATCTCTTACCCTGATGTATTGGGAACTTTTTTGTACTTCACCTTTACAGAATTGCCTTCCTCATCAGCTTATATTCATGTGTGCTTGCAGAAAATGAATTGCATCTTTGTTTTGATTTTCTTATTTAGAAAATATAAACACACGAATAGGCAAGTGTTTCCCTGCAAGTGTTTCACAGAAAAATAAAGGAAAAAAGATTTTTTTCCATTTAATGTCTATGGCCACCGGAGATACTAATTAGGATCTATATTATGAGGTTGATTTTTAAGAGAACTTGCTTGGTTGTTTGTGTTAGAGTTGTAAATTAGCTGCCTTATTTAATTGATTTTAGCAAACATTACCAGCAGTGTTATTGAGGCATGTATTTCCATGTATATTTTGTGTATGTTTCATCAGAATCAAATAATTATAAATTAATTTTACCATTATTAACAATACTTTACATGTTTTTTAGTGTGACACTCTTTTGTAGCATACATCCTTAATTAAATATGGAACATGACAAGAAAAATAAGTTAGGATCTATGGAAATCCAGCCACACAATGTTTGTCTGAAATGTTTGTGATGTGATCTTGGTTTTCCTATTGTTGAATTATCTCCCCTACAAAAACTGGTACAAATCGAAATCTGTAAATAGGATGTCCTGTATTTCTATGTGAATGTAATCATTGACTTATGACTTTTGATCGATATTTAAAAGTTTTGTACAGGAAGTAGCACAGTACAATAAATTGAAACTTTGTAGATTAATACTTCATTTTGTTGTTTGTTGATTATCTGTAGACAAGTACAATAAGACCATATTATTGTGTAAATTCTGCTCAAACCCATCATATATTGTCCCTGTGACCTTGACCTGTAACACACCATATAAACTGTGTTATTGTATGACTGTCTCCAACATAAAGGAACTGACCTCATGGAAGCTAGCCGAGAGATAGGGTCAAAAGACATTAGTAATATCTTTAGCCCATGGGAATCATATAAAATTTAGGTCTGATCCTTGGGTGCTTAAAGCAGGGTTTATTTGCATTAAATGACAGCTAAGTAGTTTTCAACCAAATTGTTGTGGTTGGTAGCATCTTAAACATGCAGGCATTATACATGTACAAATAAATAGAGGATTATATATGTCATGAGTATGGCAGAATATAAATATTTTTCACGAGTGCAAAGCACTAATGCACCCATCAAAACATAGCTCACCCTGGTACCAGATGAGGTATTACAGGGGCTGTGGGTAGTTAATGTGAAAAAGGGTCAGTTTGGTTGATTTACATCAATTCAGCAACATTTCCTCCACAACTACAGATCAATTAAAAAAAGCTAATGAAATTGTGGACCATATCATTACAGGTTAAAAAGTTATGGATTAAAAATACATTGCTAAGTTATGGATTAGATTTATCTGTAGTGTAAAATCCGGTGTTATTGTTTGTCATCTGGTTTAATAACCAATGCTGACAACATGTGATATCAATGGGATCAAATATCATCTGCAGCCTTGTGACATTAGGGTTAAGTTGCTTTAAGTGACAGGCATATATATCAACTAAATTATAGAGGTAGCGCTTTTAGAATATGGGGATCAAAAGCTAAACAAACACGCATATGACCCTCAAGGAGGCTATTTGACCATTGTGACCTTGAATAAATGTCAAAGGCATTTATTTGATAAACGTTGTTAGACCTCCAACCACGCTACCTTCTTATGAAATGACCATTGGTCTTCTGAAATTTGAGAAGTCATTTAAAGGTTTTAACATTGGACCCCTGTGACCTTAATTGAAGGGCAAGGCCATTTACTTTAACAACTTTGATAGCCCTCTCTCCCTGCTACCTTCTTGTAAATTTTTACGGTGGTGTGAGCACTGGTGTGGAAACCTATGCTCCCAGCTCTAGTATATGAAAAAATCAAATACTGAAATGAACAAAGGGCAATAACTTTTGGAAAAACTGTTGAATCAAAATTCTTTTGAGGGAGACACAACTTCATATCATGATTATACTGTATACCAAGTTTTCAAAGAGATCGGTCGAAAAATGTAGGAGGAGATTGCCGGACAAATAAAAGTTTACGCCGGACGGACGGACAACCCCATACCATAGTACTTAAATTTCGTAAAATTTGACGGGCGTATGAAAAGGGTTAGATTGAAGAAATGATACCTGGATGCACAACACGAGGGAGTAATTATCATATCTGAAAACTTCCGTTGAAATTAGCCCCATAATTTTTAAAGAATTGTCTGGACAAGGATTTTTCAAAAAAGGGCCATAACTTTGTAAAAAGGGTCAGAATGAAAAAATTATATCTGGATGCCATATCTGAAAACTTTGAAATTGGTCCAGTAGTTTTGGAGTTGTCTGGACAAGGATTTTTCAACAAAGGGCCATAACTTTGTAAAATAGGGTCAGAATGAAAATGAATACCTGGATGCACAACTTCAGGTGGTAGTTATCATATCTGCAAAGTTTCGCTAAAATTGGTCAGTTACTTTAGAAGAAGTTGTTGGGACAAACTTTTTCTACAGACGGACAGATATATGCTGGTTCCAGTATACCTCCCCCCGTAACTTTGTTGCCATGGTGGTGGTGGTGGTGGTGGTGGTGGGGGGGGGTATAATAATGCTGGGGCTACAAGAGCTTAAGAAGTCACTTAAATATTTTTTTTAATATATTTGGCCTCTGAGGCCTTGAATAAGGACAATTTATTTGAACTACCTGATCAGCCCTTTACCCCAGTTATCTTCTGGTTAACTATCATCACTATCAGTCTTCTGGATTTTGAAAGGAAGCTGTATTTACATTTCTGATCCCTGTGACCTCGAATGTATAAACATTGGTTCTTAGTAGATGTCAAAAAATAATTGATGACAACAAAGACAGATAGCAATGAGCTTGTCGTACATCATAGTATTACTGACCTTGACACATCTCTAACTACATTGTATTATTGTATGAGTTTTGGCTGTCTTGTCCCTGTGACCTTGACTTGTGACACATCTCTAACTACATTGTATTATTGTACAAGTTTTGACTGTCTTGTTGTCCCTGTGACCTTGACTTGTGACACATCTCTAACTTCATTGTATTATTGTATGAGTTTTGACTGTCTTGTCCATGTGACCTTGACTTGTGACACACCTCTAACTTCATTGTATTATTGTGCTAGTTTTGGCTGTCTTGTTGTCCCTGTGACCTTGACTTGTGACACATCTCTAACTTCATTGTATTATTGTATGAGTTTTGACTGTCTTTTCCCTGTGACCTTGACTTGTGACACATCTCCAACTACATTGTATTATTGTACAAGTTTTGACTGTCTTGTTGTCCCTGTGTCCTTGACTTGTGACACATCTCTAACTTCATTGTATTATTGTACGAGATTTGGCTGTCTTGTCCCTGTGACCTTGACACAACACTAACTTCATTGTATTATTGTATGAGGTTTGACTGTCTTGTCCCTGTGACCTTGACACAACACTAACTTCATTGTATTATTGTATGAGGTTTGACTGTCTTGTCCCTGTGACCTTGACTTGTGACACATCTCTAACTACATTGTATTATTGTACAATGTAGTTAGAGATGTGTCCCTGTGACCTTGACTTGTGACACATTTCTAACTACATTGTATTATTGTACAAGTTTTGACTGTCTTGTTGTCCCTGTGTCCTTGACTTGTGACACATCTCTAACTTCATTGTATTATTGTATGAGTTTTGGCGGTCTTGTCCCTGTGACCTTGACTTGTGACACATCTCCAACTACATTGTATTATTGTACAAGTTTTGACTGTCTTGTTGTCCCTGTGTCCTTGACTTGTGACACATCTCTAACTTCATTGTATTATTGTATGAGTTTTGACTGTCTTTTCCCTGTGACCTTGACTTGTGACACAACACTAACTACATTGTATTATTCTATTAGTTTTGACTGTTTTTCCCTGTGACCTTGACACATCTCTAACTTCATTGTATTATTGTACGAGTTTTGGCTGTCTTGTCCCTGTGACCTTGACCATCAGGTTTATGGTACAAATGCATTACCATGTATTTTTTACATCTCTTTCTGAATAGGATCACATGGATGATGGTCCCTAGCAAAGGGTTTGGTAGCGATATCCATATTAGCCAGTATATATGTCATATCACCGGCAAGAGTAATATACAAACCATATCTGATGGCAGCTGCAATCAAACGTACATCAGTTAATTATCTACACGTTCTCTGCTATGAGCCGTCTTCAAATATAACACAATCCTTTTTAAGTAGTATATATTTGATAGCTGCTGATGTTGTTTACATAGCTTGTTAAATACGTCAGAATTCGCTTGACAAAAGTAATAATGATAACATGATACAAAACAGTGATAATCTGCTTTTTAATTTCAAATAGGAAATTTGACAGAGATTTATTATTTGATAACAAAACAACAGATAAATATGAAATCATTTACACATGACAAATACTATACAAACTGTTTTTCTTTCATTGCTTTTTTCCCTTTTACTTTCAACAACAATTTTTCTCCCATCTCTACATGTGCAAGATTTCTCATACACAGAGCACTCATACAGGATGCACATTTCTCTTACCCTGGACAGGTGTATGTCTAACCCTGGACAGGTGTATCTCTTACCCTGGACAGGTGTATCTCTTACCCTGGACAGGTGTATCTCTAACCCTGGACAGGTGTATCTCTAACCCTGGACAGGTGTATCTCTTACCCTGGACAGGTGTATCCACATTTTTTACCAGTGTGAGATTTCCTTGTCTCACTCTAGGGTTGAGAAGGGGGGATTCCCCTATTCCTAACAATGGTATGACGTCACTTCAACAATACATTGACGTCACGTCAATAATCCATCAACAACACATCAACCCTGAATTTAGCATGTAACGTTGTCATTACATTGTGTATATAATGTATATAATACACAATGAGAGAACAGCGTAAGAGAAAAAGAATCATTCACCCCCTTGTGGGTAAGATGGAGGATTCTAAACCCTCTGGCTGAGATTCTCCTATCTCACCCCAAAGGGGTGTTCTTTTTTTTGTTTAAATTCTATTAATCCCACAAGGATGCACTCAGTGACCTTTATGACCTCACAAGCAAATGCTGACGTTACATTAGCATAATAACAAGAGGCCCAAGGGCCTTAGCGGTCACCTGAGTTATATCATAGGTACTGGTAGCTTTATTTTATTGTTTAGATGTGATGTGGAAATCAGCATGTAAACTAAGTGAAATACAATACTTGTCATGTCATCAATGGATAAGAATTTGAAAATATTGGTAAATGTTCCCTTTGGGGCCCCGCCCTAGCCCCTGGGGATGGGGCAGGAATCC